TATTAAAGATTAGAGAAAAATTTAAAAAAGGGTAACAATCACGAAAAGTGAATTTATCAGCAAGAAAATATTTGAAGAGTCTCGTGTTGTGAATGTAAACAGGTAGATGCAAAATATTATGGTGTTATATAGGAATAAAGTGTCACTGTCGACACTGGAGTTGGAACACAGATCATCAGAGAGCAAACACAGGCGACCATATTTTGAATCAGTAGATCACATGATGGTAAAGGAAATGTACATATGGGAATTAGTGTAATGTCTAAAAGATCACTATATGGATTACTATTTGGATCACTATTCAGTGGTTACTTTTCGAGTGAGTATTATCAAGCAAGTACTATTAGTGTGAGTGTTATTTGAAGGCACCTGACACCAGTATTGTTCAACGGCATTACTATAGCTGCATCTGTGATTACAAAGTCTCTACTAGAATGAGCAATACAAATGTGACAACAAGTATTTGTTGACATTACAAAAGTGGTAACAAGTGTTTGGTGACATCACAAAATAAGGACATTTTCTAAAGACTTCATGTCTTTAGAAAATGTCCTTATTTTGTGATGTCACCTTATTTTTGCAACCAAACCTCCATAAGCATCCCAACAAGAAATGAGTGAAGAAGTACAATTTTTAGTGACGAATGTAGGGCTATGGATGTCAGTATGACTGTTGATTTTGTATGGATTTTTTAACTGAACATGTGTTCAATATATAAACAAAGAAGAAGCATACAAAATAATTTAATTCTTTCCTACTGACATTTATTTCTTTTATGTTGACTGTATTAAAACAAAATTAAATGTCTCTTGAGTATGTCTGTTTTCCTTTTTTGGTTCAGAAATTAATTATAGGGTGTAAGGATAAGAACAGGTAAAGATCGTTAAGCTCAAGCCAGCCGCGCACTGAGTTGAGATGGCTGAATTTCTATTTCACATCCGAATGATCTCATTGGAAAGCTGAAAGAAAATGATTCTGTATATCCTGAAAATTTTACAAACAGTTGGTTAATATCAATTTTATTATAAAAAAATTGACTTGTATAATAAAATCTGACATTGTATATTTGGGGAAAAATATGAATCTATCTCTTCTCTCCCTATCTATGGGTTAAATAGCAGGACATATTGGGCTCTCTACACACTGTTGGCAACCAGTTTATGACAACTCTGAATTCAAATCTCAGCAACCAGAAGCTGTACAAAGATGGTTAGACATGGGATGCTAATACTATGACTGTTAAAGTATAGATTTCAACAATGATGGATAATCCTATGGGAGAGTGATTATCTAGAATGCTGCTGACACTAACAGGCATTGGGTTCAGGGTAGCTGGATGGATGGTGTATATATCAAAATTAGTATCCATTGGTTGGTGATTCACAAAAGAGGACACATATATTTTTGTTCATACCTCATTGTGTACAACATATAATCATTTCATATTTTTTATGAATAATCCCAAAATATATAATCCCAAATAGACATAAAATGTATCTGCATAAAATTGTAGAATTTATGTTTCTCATTTCAACTAGATTCTACTTTTATGTGCATGTTCATGAATAGACAATCACGGTTCTCCACAATTTCCTGTCCTTTGTAGCTCTTACTAAATTTCATCATTTTTGTAGTCTCTCCTATCTATCTATCTATCTATCTATCTATCTATCTCTCTCTCTCTCTCTCTCTCTATATATATATATATATATATATATATATATATATATATATATATACACAATTTGTACTTAGGCAGCAATCCTTCATTTATATATGTTTCGTTAAAGATGACAGACAGGTTACTGTGTCTTCAGATAAATTTTTGAACTGATCCAGTATTTCTTATCGAAAAGTGAAATGAGAGTTATCTTTAATGGCCACTCTTCCAGATCCTTTTGTAGTACTGCATGTGTACCCCAGAGCTTTATCCTTGGTCTTACTTTGTTTTTGTTTTTTATTAATGACATTAGCTCTCAAATTTTTATCTATGTGCGATGATGCAAGAAACTGTTATCAAAGAACTTACAGTTACATCTAACCAAGTCAACTGTAAATTGATGAGACCTTGTTGCCAATCTAGTACTGCACTTAAATTCAAAAAGTCTAGGTACCATAGTGAAGAGCTCATCTGGACACTTACCATGAAAGTATTAGTAGGAAAGGGAAATAACTTTACAGTGATGGGAAAGTGACTGATGCTGAGACACAAGATCAGAACCGATAATATCGCTGATTCTTTGGATTGTATCAAGAATCTCTAGATATATAGCAGAACCACTGGACAGCAAGCAATATTCTAAGCATGGATAAATAACAGACATAGATATGTAAGACAGATTCTGGAGAGAAGAATTGTCTAGCACAACACAGTGAACTAACCTCCTTAGTAGGTGACCTAGCAATGGATTCAATATAATCTTTCTACTTCATGTCAACTGAGAACACTAGCTCGAAATGGCACAATGAGTCACTCTCCTGGAGGTTAGTATCAGTCATGCTGATGGAAGGTAGAAAGTGGTCTCTAAGATGAGTAATAAAGATCGGTTTAGTTTTGGAAGTATTAAAATTAACAAGCCATCTTTTGCCTCAGGTAACAACAAACTAAAGGTCATTTTTTACATCAGTCACCAATTTGACCTTATTTGAACTGATTAGACTTACTATTGAGACAGGGGTAAATGATTGCATCATCGCATATAGATACCAATTTGAGAGCTAATGTCATTAATAAAAATCATAACAAATAGGACCCCCAAGATGGAGCCCTGGGGGACACCTGCATTAGTGCAAACGAATCTAGAAGTATGGCCATTCAGGATAACTTTCATTTTGTGATTTGATAAGAAAGACTGGATCAGTTCGGAAATTTGTTTGATGACACTGAAACTTTTCAACTTGTGAAGAAGAATTGCATGCCAAACTTTGTTAAAAGCATTCATGATATACAATGCAACAACGCAAGCCTCACTATTGTTCATTTCATTTTATCACCTTCTCAATGTTTTCACAATCTGGAGAATTGTATTGTATTGTAAATTATATTATTATTGTATTATAAATTATTATTATTATTATATTGCAAATTATATTATTACTGTATTGTAAATTATTATTATTATTATTATTATATTGTAAATTATATTATTACTGTATTATAAATTATTATTATTATTATTATTATATTGTAAATTATATTATTACTGTATTATAAATTATTATTATTATTATTGTTGTATTGTAAATTATTATTATTGTATTGTAAATAATTATTATTATTATTGTATTGTAAATTATATTATTACTGTATTGTAAATAATTATTATTATTATTGTATTGTAAATTATATTGTAGTGTAAATCCTATAATTTTTATAGTTTTGTTCTGTTATCTTGCCTTGTTCTAAAAGTGCAAGGTTTTTTGTAAGAATTGTATTTGTTTATATTTTTTCATTCCAATGTAATGAATGTTTCTACCTTTCAAATTTCAGTTCTAGGATAGTTGCATACTGGACATTTGTGTCTCATACAATTGCGTACCAGACATTTGTGTCCATAGACAAATGTGTTCCTCGATGTATAATTGCATACCTCTGATAAGTTTTTGAAGCTTTTAAAGGCAATTACCATAAATTTTGAAAAGAAACATAGGTAGTAATCATAAAGTTATATAAAAGGAATAAAATTAAGAGCTTATTTTCATTTAAAATGCAATGATTATAGCATGTCAATCCCTGTATGAATTCTTGCTTTGCAAGATCACTTTACACATTGTCAGTATGTTTTTGTTTCATGGGCATTTTTCTTATGATAGTGGTAGCTGTAATTTTCCTTGTTCACAAATATTTTTCTGCAAGTGTCTTATTTTCGGAACTTAAGTGTGGGTTCCAAATAAAAATATAATCTATAAAATCCAGAATCTATTAGATGTTCATGGTACACACTGCTGGAACGAACTGAAATGGCGAGCTTAATTTTCTCTTATTTTTAAAAAATAAATTTTTCTCTCTTTTTTTATTTATAGTAAGTACTGTATCTATCTATATTTCTGAGATGAGGTATTATGTATATTACTTACATTATTCAGACTATTGTCCTCATCTTTGTTGCCATATTTATCACAACATTTTGGCCTTATTCAGGTGGTTAGAATGTCGAACTGAACCCTTTATTTCACTTGCTGGGGTAGACTGTTCTAGTTACATGTGCCATGTCTAATGGGTGTCAGTTATCTGTTATCTCCTGTTAACATATGCTAGGCCACAAAAATCTCCTGAGCCGACCAAGCATAAAAATGAATACAATATGGGAACCAGTAATAAGGAGTGCCAGAGAAAAGCAATAATAACAACGAAAATTGCAATATGAGCTCTGGTAAAAAACATGCAATGATAACAGCAAAAATTGCAATATGAGCACTTGAAAAAATGGTTGCTGAAGACATTAGGTTTATAAGTCCCAGATATTCATACACAGATATCATCAAGGACACATGGCACAGTGGATAAAGATGTTAGATCCAGTGACAGAACCCAAAAAGTGTGAGTTCAACACCTGTTTAAGGCAGTGGAGAACTTGGAGAGGGGAATTAACAGAACTGATAACTGACATCCATTAGACATGTCATGTGGAACTAGATCATTCTACCCCAGGAAGCTAAATAAAGGGTTCATTTTGACATTCCAACCACCTGAAGAAGGCTGGAGCATAAACAGCCAAAATGTTGTGATAAATATGGTAACAAAGATGAAGACGATAGTCCAAACAATGTAAATAGTACAGTAACTACTGCTTGTTTAGAGTAATTAAAAGGTATTGGTGTGCAAATTTCTACATAAAACAACTCTTTAAAAACAAAAATGTTTTTTTTCTTTTAAAATTTATGTTAACTACCTCTTTGCTTGTTTAGAATAATTAAAATTTGGTTTGTAATTAGCAACACTTAAGAAAAGACAGTACAGTAACTTCAAAGAATTATCAGAAGTATGCAATTATCTAGGGATGCATTTGTCTAGGGACACAGTTGTCTGGTACACAAATGCCCAGTATGCAACTGTCTGTCCACCCCAAATCTCACATAGTAGTTTCAAGTCTTCTTCGTTACTGTAAGTGCCTTTTTTTAATATTTGGCATAGAGAAGTTTTCTTTTTCTCCCACTCTCTCTGAAGAAAAAAAAAAAAATTATTTATTGAGAATTTCGTTGATTTATGATTGAGGTTTTTATCAATTATGCTTAACCATATCTGCTTATTCTACTGGGGCAAGGAGGGATGTTAAAGGTTTAAAAGTTATTTTGAACAACAAAAACAGGAAATTGTGGAGAGCCATGATCACCCACATTTTCTGAAATGACTAGATGCATAAAAGAAATGGAAATTATAATGTGCATATGATGCACATAAAGGTTGGCTGAATGCAACAGACGCATAAGTAAAATATTGTGTTAAAGACTATCAAAGAATAAAAGAATCAATGTATTGATAAGTTATACGCTGCCAAAAATCTTTTAATATCTTCTAAAAGTCTTTAATCATCTTCTGAATGTTTGTTTTGATAATGACCATTAATGAAAATTTTGGCACTGCAGCTTTTATAAAATGGTCATGTTGAACAAGAATGTTCTCTTTGTATCGCCTCAGATATCTACAGATGTGGAATTTCAAGTCGGGATAATTTTTTGAAAGAAAATTTTGGGGCAAAGAAATTTATTTTAACTCAATTCTATAAATTTTACTTTATGAAATCAATTATAATTTCTCTAGGTAACCTGTAGTTTCCTTTCCATGTCTGTTGTCAACACTGTCATCTGCATATTTTATGCTGTCAAGATTGTAGCCACCAATATTGAATCTGGGTAGGATTTCTAATTCTCTCAGACTCGCTGTATAGGTTGAATAAGACCAAAAGCTAAGCAGAGCATTAAGAAACAGAAACAAAGAAAAGAGTACTGAACTGTTATGTGATATCTGCCCTCCTGTATGGCATTGAATACGGGACAGTCTCCTCAAAGATGAAAAAGAGACCTGAAGCAACAGAAATGTGGTTCTACAGAAGGATTTTGAGGATACCATGGACCAAACATGTGAGCAAAGACAAAGTTTTAGAGAGAAAATGAAAACAAAAAGGAAACTCATACCTAACATGAGGAAGAGACAGTTTAAATTTTTAGGGCACATAATGAGGAAATAGGGCTTGGAAAATCTGATACTCACAGGACCGACTGAAAGCAAGTGGGACAGAGGAAAACAAAACATAACATATTCAGTGAGCTTGATTAAATGGATGGTGGAATAAAGTTATGAAGAACTGGAAGTTGTGGGGAGCCATGATTGGCTTCATCCTTAGGGGACACAGCACATAAAAAAGAAGAGAGGAAATTATAAAAAGAATATATAAAATGTAAAAAAAAATAGCTTCAACCATTACTTTTTTAAGTTTTTTTGTTCATAAAATCTTTTAAGGAGAGAAATAGAAACATTCATGTTAAAAGTCTGATTCTCTATATAGTGTTCCAGTATTGGGCTCAGTGCCAATAAATATCTATGTCTTTATCTCCCCACCCACCACCATGCATCATTCTCTTGTGTCTGTGTGTGTGTAATATTACTCAAATGTTCTGGGAATTTGAACATGTGAACAGAATGTTGCATGATATATTTTTTTGCTATCCACATGTGCAAACCCACATATTTTGGTTCATCAATTTGTCAATAAATGTGATCAGCGGGTTTTTCCCTCACTGATCTGTTAAACCTAGACCAGAGTAGAGATCAGTTACCAGGATCTGGTCATCTAAATTTTGAGGTGCGCACATATATTATTGTATCCTCAACATAGTATCAACAACAGATCAGAGTATACTCCGAGGCAGATCATTCATGTAAAATAGAAAGATTGTTCGATCAAGAAGCAAAACTTGTGGGATGCCTGTGTAAATCACAGTGGTTTCTGAGGACTGGCTGTTAACAACTATCATCAGATAGGATTCTTCTAGTGATACATAACTGGAGAGCTTGTGCAGCAACCCTTAATGCCACGCCTTGTCAAAGGCCTTTGAAATATGTGTGATCGTCCTTCATATATATTTCTTGTCTAGTGCCTTACTGATTCTGTGAGTAATGATAGTTCAGATATCAGAAGTGGATCAAACCAATTGAAGTCTACACTGCTTGTCACTCAAGTGGTTGTCCATATTGAGGTGATCAACAACCTTCTTGTTAATTATAACCACAAAAATTTCCTAGTGAGAATAAGAAGGCTGATGAGGATGAGCACTCACCAGCATTCTTGAAAACAGAGATATACTTGACAACATTCACAGACTTGGGAAAGATATCTCCTTCAAGCAGTTGTTAAGATTGGGAATAGCTCAGAGTTAAGGACAGCCATTGAGATTTTATTTGGACCAGTAATCTTATTAGGGTCAAGGCTTTTGATATTTTGAGACTTTCTGGGCTGTAAAAATATTACTTTGTGCTACATGAGAGCAGGGGTGTCAGGAGGGGTTGGCCATTGTCATCTAATGTTGAGTTAGGGCCAAAGACTGTGGTGAAGAGCTTTACCTTACCCGACAAGAATTAGATGAGCTGAGGGTTATTTATGATAGTCGGCACTGACGTTTTGCCTCTATTCAGAATTTGATTAGAGATTTTTCAGTACTCCTGGGATCTAAGTTGATTGTGCATAGCTACACTTTGCAATTTCTAAAACTCTCATCAAATGATTGCAAGCAGTTCTAAATGCAGCAAGTGTCCTATAACACTGTTCCCTGTGATAGATATTGTAGTAGCAGTTACAGTACAGCACATTCAGTGGGTGAACCAGGGCTGGTTGTTTGTTTTTTTGCCTGAATTTTTCTGGGGTATAAAATTCCAGAAAGCATCTGTGCCGAGATAAGGATGGCAGTTTTGAAGGTAGTACCTTTGAAGAAGGCTGAGAAATGCAATCTATGGAATGGCACATCAGGGAATGTCTTTGGTTTGACATCAACTTTAACACTGACTAATGAAGGACGTGAATTGTCCAGAGTGTGTAACACTTCTGCAGAGCATTTTTCAGGGCAGGATGTTCACCTGATGTTCTGTTGCATTAGGAGCACAGATGGGTTCTTCAATAATCTGTGTTAGTTCATAGGCAATGGAGATGTTTCGGCAACATCTGTCTTCTTCACCAGTTTTGTTTTAGTCCACTCTTTGTATTGAATATTAAAGTCACCACAAATATTAATGCTAGTTGAGGGATCAATCCTCTCAGTTACTTTGCCGAACATTACAATCATCTTGTGTACAATAGAGATATACATAAAGATATGGAGAATGAGACATAGTGAAGAAAACTCATGCATTTAGCTTAGGGAATAAAATGTGTAAGTTGTGCCAGGAGGTGAAGTTAGCAATAATGAGATATTCCGATTTGAATAAGTTATTAAATGAGAGATCAGAGGTGATGACAGGATGTAAACATGCTAGAAAATTCCTCCAGACAAACTACATGTCAGGGTAGAATGGTATATAAAGCAGTTTTTTTTCTCTCCTTGTCCCCCCTCACCAATGGCTAGTATATGTATATGTTGCAGAATGAAGGTAAGATAGAAATTCTAGTTTACTGTCTGAAAACACTGAAGGTAGTGAAACTGCAGTAGTGAAAAGGTTAGTTTTTTGACGAAAATCTGAACATATAATTGAAAAAAAATTGCTTTGTTTCTTTCTTAGAGTCACTGATTCAAAATCAGATATGAAGACCTCATTATTTGAAAGCCTACATTTTAATCATTGGATTTGTTTGCAAACGTTGGGGGGATTGGTCATTGTAATCATTTAATGACAAATAAAATATTTCAATCATTCAATTGTTGTTTTTTGATAAATTGTAGGTGAGTGACAGTAAGGTTTCTTTCTTTAAATCAAATGAGCCATTTCAAAAATTAAACTTTTAATGCACATAAAAAAAGAAAAAAATATTGAATAAATGATTAAATAGGTCAAGTTCAAGCAAGTCAAGGACAATTTTGTTGTTGTTACATTCCCCCCCCTGTTATTTTGGTAATTTTTTTTTTATTTTTATCTTCTGTTTTTTCTTAATTTATTTTACTTCTTTTTTCCCTTTGTTCTTCCCCTTAGTTTCTTTTTCTTGTTATTCTTCTTTTTTTATTTCTTTCATATTTCTTTTCTCCTTTGCCTTCATTTTTTCTCTTTCTTCTTTCCCTTACCTTTTTTCTTTGTTATTCTATTTATGTCTTTCTTTTTCTTTTCTCCTTTTTCCTTCATTTTTTTCTCTTTGTTCTTTCCCTTACTTTCTTTTTCTTTGTTATTTTTATTTCTTTCTATTTATCTGCTTTTTCTGTCTTTCTTTTTGATTTTTCATTGCATTTCATTCTTTTCTTCTCTTCATTCTGTTATTTCAATTTTCTTTCCAAGTTTTTCCTTTTCCTTATTCTTTTATAACTTCCTTTCTTTCTTTTCTCTATTTCAATTTTCTGCCTTTCAGTTGTTTTTCTTCATCTCTTTCAGTTTTTTTTTTCTGTAGTTTGCTTCGTTTGACATTTTCTAACCTTTTTCCCTTCATTTCCTTTCTTTTTCTATTTCCTTATTCTTCCGTTTCCTTGTTTTCACCTTTATTTTTCTCTCTTATTCAATTTCTGTATTTCTTTAATTCTAAACTATCAGCCTTGACTCAGTTACTGTCACTATAGTTACTTAATCATGAATAAAATTTGAAAGAAAGGAAAAAACACTCAGGTTGATTCATTATAAAATAAAAATTAATTAATGAAAGTAATGGCATAGAGGAGTGGAGAATGAACTATTCTTTTCCTCCACACACTGAAGAGCTCATTATATTGTAACCCTGCAGTATACAATCTTTTATCTGCTGCATTTCTTAGTGTTTGATGCTCTCAACAGGCCATTCCTGGTCATTTTAAGAGATTAAACAACACAGTTCTGTATATTTATTTCTATACTTGAATAACTATTGTGTTCTGATAGAAGTCTCGGCTGAATCCTGATCTGCAAGGAATCTAAAATTCTGACATTTCTTCTCCAGTTTATTCTTATTCTACTAAAATGCTCTCAAATGTTTCATATATTCACAAGATTATGAACCATTGCACCAGAAAGAAAAATACATTACAGTAATTTTTTTCTTTGCACTTATTTATTATTTAAAATAAAGAGTAATTTATAAGCTAAATATTCATAACAGAAATAATGATGTAAAAGCATATATATGTGTGTGTGTGTGTAAATGAAATAAATCGTAAAGAGCCAGGAACAACCTACCTAGGTTTCAAAGATCTTCAGGGTAAGTTGGCTAAAGAGGAAATGACATGAAACAGTATTTATTGATAAAACCGCTAAAAACTAATTAGCATAAAACCTTGTGATAGAAGATAGAGAAAAAAAAAACAGATCCTCTATTCCAATAACCAGGATTTCCTATGCCTACCAAGTCATATATATGTATGTATGTATATGAATTTTTAGGCAGCATATCTTCATTCAGATATGTCTGATTAAATAATTGTTATGGGATCTTAGCCATAATAATAATAATAATGGACTATTCCATACTTAATAAATACTGCACCTCAGGAGTAGGCAAAGAGTCAATAGTTCAAGTCGAGTCAAGAGTCGAGTCAGAGGCAGTCCGAAACAGAGTCGCGTTCACACAATTACTGCAAGACATTGGAATAGTGATACTGGTTGAGACTACATTGTTCTCTCTACTAAACCTGATTGTTCATACTAACACTTCTACTTCTCTGTATATATTCCTGTTTGTAATATATCTGTGTTATTCCATACCTGTGTTTGAGTTCTTCTTTATTGGTTCTACCTTGGACTATCACTGTGGTACAAGGAACCGGACCATAACAATAATAAAGACATATTGCATCTACATATTTTATACCGATCCTTTTCAGTTTCCATAACTACAAGAGATAAATTTTAAATTTAAAAATAACTATAACAGAGCAGTATTTACATTAGTATTTACATTAATGTAAATACTGTACATAATACCTCATCTCAGAAATATAGACAGACTCTATAACAGAGCACTTTTGCATGTGTTTTTAAAAATCCCCATCAAAACAGAATGCAGATTTTATCATAGTTACAATAAGTTTGTCTTTGTAAGTCACCCCTAAAGATGATCTTAGAAAAGATTGAAAGTACTTGGATTAGAAAAAACTACAGTGCCTTCCTTGATGAATTTCATCTTAACATCAAGAAACTGATTAGACATCTAGAAATGATCAGTATAAAAATACGTAGACACAATATGTCCATATTATTCAATGAAACACACACACACATATATAATATACACATATATATACACATATAGATGCACACACATATATATATAGATACACATATATATGTATATATGCATATAGATACTCATACACACACACACATATATATAGATACACACACACACACATATATATATATATATATATATATATATATATATATATAGAGAGAGATACATACACACATTATATATATATATATATATATATATATATATATATATATATAGAGAGAGAGAGAGAGAGAGAGATCTTGCTTGCCACCTGAGGATTGTAAAAATTGCATGAAACTGACAGTATCAAAGGGGTATGTGTGCAGAAAAGTTTGTTATTGTATCAAATTTTAGACTCTTTATTTTTTTTTATTTAATCGTGTGAAAGACAAAAGTTATCTCCCCTTGACTAAATAAAAAAAGCTAAATATAAATAATCATGAGAATAAAAAACAGTCATGTGACCTGACAAGAGCTTTACGAGACATCATTACGTGTGTAAAATAAACAACCTCTTTTAGATCCGACCAGCAAGGTAAGCAAACGTGCATTTTTTAGGCTTGTGAACAATCCACAAAGATAAGTACAAAAATGACACATTGTTCTTTTGGTATACAAGCAATTGTAAGTAACTACATGCCTACTTTGTAGTAACAGTATGAAATATAAATATATATACATTTAATTGTTTTTATACAAAGACTTTTGTGTTTTATTTAAACTTTTTTTTATATGTTTACGTTGTCGTATATTCTTTCACTTTGTAAATGAAGTCAATGTTACATATTCATGCACAACAATCTACTTTTCGTTTTAAATCAATTCACCCTAAACAAGGCAATAATGCCACTAAGATGCAAGGAACTACTGGGAGCAAAAGAGAATGAGAAGACTTTAGAAGAAACTGGATACCCAATCATAAACAGGAAACAAGGAATAAACCTCTACTCCTGTTCAAAAGACAGGAGAGGAATGTGAATTGGACGATAGGCGAACATATCTACTTCTGTGATTTTGTTTTTTATATTGAGTGCTTTCTTTTTACTACTTTAGCACATTCTTGTACAATTTTATATATTATTTGGGTAGCAAACCTTGTCTAATGCATGTTTAATAAAATATGAGAAATAAGATAAATTTTGTCAATTTTTTTTAACTAAGTTTGCTTTTTTGAGAACCGAGTGTGTTGGTTTTCCAAGTGATTCTGGTTAATATTTTAGTCATTTTCAAGATAGGGGTAAGTTCTGTGCTAATGAGGATTATTAACATATTGTTTTGTTTCATTTATTGTACTGTGTTGTGTGAGAGATATTTTTGTTGTAGTAATTTCATTCTCAGTTGAGTTTTTTTGCTTAGTTTCCAAACATTCTAGCCATGCTTGTACAAGAAAAAAAAATCTCACAAGATATTCCTTCTCTGTCATGTTCAATGAAAACTCTCCATGACTTTCCTCAAGCTGTCCCATGGTCTGGCATTTTAAATTTCCATGTTGAGAATTGGACCACAGAGGTTTCCTCCTGGTTCAAAGTCGGTATAGATGCTTTCATTCCTTCTCAGAAATATCAATCTTCTCCATGGTTCACTCCAACATGTTCTGCCACTATAGCCCACAGGAATCACTATTTCCAGCTATATCAGCGAGACAGTTATCATCATAACAGACACCTATTTGTAGCAGCATGTAATAAGGAAGGAGCTAAGTTTCTGTTTGCTGAGAGAATGAGATACCATATTGCATCTAACATTTTTGGCTCTCATGGTTACTGGCGGCTCTGTAATAGTGTATTAAATAAGAGTAAGTTTTCTATTACTCCTCTCTTCAATAAAGTTAAGTTGTTGTTATAGAGTAGTTTCACAGTGGAGGCTTGTATTTCACTAAGTCGGTCCTAAAAAGGTTCAATGTACAAAACGTTAGGAACTTGAAATAATAGTTAATGATGCAGCAATCTAGTTGGGGTGGTTGATACTTTAATGTCCGACATCGACTGATTGACCAACTCACTGAGCCCCCTGGCGACTGCTACTACTACTACTTATTATATGTGGGGGAGTCTATTAACAATAGAATAGGTATGTTCCAGTATAACAGTTGTTAATGTCTTCCACTGATAAAGCTGAATGTTTCACCTGTAAATACTTCTTTAACTCTATATTTGAATCACCTGGAGTATCCCTGTCGAACTTTGCATTTAGAACTGAGTCTCTGTTAAGTGATAAGCTATCATCTCCAATGTGGATCCATAGAAAGCATGTGGACCTGATGGTATCCCTGTAATAGTTCTTAAGAAATGTATTTCTGAACTGGCTCCTGTTCTCTCTAAACTGTATAATAAATGCATTTCTGCCTCTTGCTTTCCAGCATGCTAGAAATCCTCATCTGTTGTTTCAGTTTTTAATAACTCAGGGGAACTGTCCAATCCTTCTATAAGCCTATTAGCCTTCTATCTATTTTCTGAAAACTATGAAAAGCCTTAATCAATGCTGAA